GAAACTGGAGAAGACCGTCTCCAGCAATCGACACCCGGATTGAGCTCTTGTGCCGAGGCTCCACCTCGGGAGGGGTACACTGTACGGCCAGCGCTGTAATGCTGGTGCTCTGTTAGGCAGGCTTCGAAGTAGGCAGCAAGACCAGCGAGGTTGCCCAGCTCTTGCAGCATGATCCTGCCACTCAAGGGGGGAAAGTGAAACTTTGCCTCTGCAACACCGGACCTGAGAGCTTCAGCATCCTTTTCTGGTATTCTGACCGTCTTCTGCAACTCTGGAAAAACGACTAGACCTGGGTACAGGAGCTGTTGTCGCAAACAAAACATCATGGAACAGTACTCCTCGGCCAAAGAGGCTCAAACTGCTATACTGCCATCACATCATGGCAAGGCTCCATCCTCGCCAAACTGCATCTGCTGGATCGGGGCGCGCCAAGACTCAGTCCACTTGGCACACATGCAGAAGCATCAGAAGCAAGAACTCACGCAGAATATGAAGAAAGCATCGCATGTTGATCTTGCATCCCAAATGCACCATCAACGGTGTACCTTAGGTTCTGCGCGTGCAGCACACCGCCCCTGCCTGCTTCAAAAATTCAGGTGGCTTGTGCGACTGGCTGCAAAAAAAACATGCAGCATGGCTCTAATCAGACGCGATGGGTCATCAAGTTTTGTCTGACCAGAATGCTGTAAGTGTCGGCAGCCCAAATGAAAGCGCACCTCCCGGTCCCCTCGGGCGCCTCGGAACTTTACCTGGGCTTCGCTGCGTTTGCCCTGCCTGAGCCTCGTACCAACTCGGCTTGTAACATTGAGACTGCCCTAAACCTTGACACTTCCGTGAAAGGTGCTCCCAAATGCGCCTTGCAGGCCAGCTCTTGCAGCTGCATCCTCCGCTGCACGACAATTGCAAGCAGAAGCTCAAGAAGACCAGGTAGTTGCTGGTCCTTTTTTACGAATATACAGTCTGCGCGTAGCCAAGACTTTGGGAACACTAACCTCTCCCATTGAGCCAAGACTCCGGAGAATACTTTCTTGCCCTTCAGGTAGTGGAAAGCACTGCCCTGCAAACAAACGATCACTTAATCGGTGAGCTCAATTCGGGACTTGCCTGCACGATGTATCCTTTCGAGGGCGTGGCTTCTGCACAACAAGAAACGAATTTTGGGTTTAGCGGCGTACCCTCCTGTGTTTTTAAGACATTCTGCAGAGAATATGGTTAATAGTAAATTAAAAGCGTTACAGATAGGACTGTTGCGGGCCCGTAAAAAAAGCTTTTTTTACATAAGATACTGCAGAAACTGGCAGATCTTTACCAAAAAAAATACAATGAAAACATACCAAAAGCCAGTGATTCTAAAGCGAACACCAAAAAAAACAAATGCGATCCTATGCTGCGCGAGCCAAGAAAACGACAAAAACATTGTGCCATGTTTCCCGTATCCCGGGAGTACGGGGTCGGAGTTTTTTGTTTTTGCTTTTTTTGCATTGTGCGTGTTGTTGGTTTTTTGGTTTCGTTTGTCATTTTCAGTTCTGCAGCCCCAGAACTAAGGGACTGGAGTGTTTTTTGGTTTTGGTCATGTTCGGCTTTAGTTTCACGTATCCGGACTCGCAACGAGAACCAGCCCTGGACCGTAACAGAACCGCAGCAAACACGTAACCGAAACCAGGCCGCCAAGCAGCCGAAACCGAAACCGGAACCGAAATCCCGAAGCGAATCTCGCAAAGTCGGGGACAGGTCCCTCTGCAGGACAACTTTTTTGCAACTTGCTTGTACCTCGTTCTACTCATTTTTCTGCTTGTACGGGGTTTAGGGTTTAGGGTTCTGGATCAAGGGGATTTTTTCACTATAGGGATAACAAAGGTTGCTATATGCTTTTTGAGGGCTGTAAGTAGCCTTACTACAACTCCTACTACTCCAAGGTATGATGGTATCTGCTGTAATTCCTAAACCCTGAAACCCTAAACCCTAAACTCCAAGCCAGAGCTTTGGATCTTCACCCTCCAAGGGTCAGGTTTCAGGAAGGGTCAGGGTTTAGGGTTTCGGGTTCTGGATCAAGGGGACTTCTTCGTTAAAGGGAAAACATGTAACAGAGGTTGCTATAGGCTTTTTAGGGGTTAAAGTACACTTACTAAGTCCGCTTGACCTTCCAAGTAAGGAAGAATCGCGAGCCCCAGCCCAAGTAGGGACTACAATATGATTCAATGATGGTCCGTGTTTTATACAACTACAACTTCTAAACCCTCAATCTTGGATCCGAACACCCTGAACCCAGAAGTTCACATGTCTGCCCTTGCTTCAGAATGAGAATTTTTGCTTCAGAATGAGAATTTGAAGTTGAGCACTTCCACATTTGCATTTGGGGCTGTGGCTTAGTTTAAGGTTGGTAGGAAGCCGGAATTGGAAATGCCCGGCAACATGCATCTAGAAGGGGGACCAAAAACGGTCCCCCTTTGGCAGAGTCCAAGAATAAAGTTTCAGCCCGTCTGAACACATGTCTGGGTTTTCCGAAGCCCTGGCTGTTTCCGTTACGTTACGCAAGGCCCAGCGGCCCTGTTGCGGAAACCGGCCGGTTCCTGTCACGGAATTGGGGCCGGTTCCTGTTACACTCCACTGTTACGGACAATCGGTTTCTGTTACTTCCAATCCTGATTTACACCTACTACAGACCTGGGGTTAGTCTTTCGTGCCAAAACCGAAATATCTCAATACTTGCATTTTTTCCTGCACCACACGTGCTTCTATCTTAAAGAACAGGTCCCAATGCCTTGGCCCTACATTTTCCTTGTTAAAAACCCTTACGAAATTGGATACGAATTTGCAGTATTTCTCCTATTCTCTTACAAAAGTCCTTTCACACAAACCTTAACTACTTTGACTTTGATTAATAGGTACTTCATAACTTTGCTTCAAATGCAACAAGGAATTCTCAAATCTCATGGTCTTGTTATTCACCATGGACTCTAAAAGTTAGTCTTTTTTTGCCAGAATCGAAAGCATCTCAATGCTGCCAGTGTTTTCTTATCCTCAATATGAAAAACACATGAGATATTCCAATGGTTCCCGAGAGATATTACAAGCGCTTTAAATAATAAGGAGGAAGTCTCTGCATTTTCCTCATTAAAAACGGCTACTAAACTGGTTACGAATTTGCACCATAATTCTCCGATTCTCTTACATAAATGAAACCCTTGACAAAAACCCTCAATACATTGACTTTGAAGCGCACATCCTAAACAGAAATTCTTAGATCCTGGGCTCCTGTTTGCCTTATTGTTCATGTATCAATCCCATGTTGAACATATTTCATATTTGACGAAGAATTCGCATGTCTGGGGCTTGATTTCAAAAGGAAGTAGCAACGAATCAGAAAATCGCATCTACTGGAAGCCATGAGAATAGTATCGATATGGGGCACATAAATATATAGATATATACACATCAAAGAAGCCCAAGCTATGAGAATTCCGATATACATGTTCAGTGTAGTTAGTAAGGAGTTCATACATAGAAAATGATGAGAACAGGAGCCTGAGAACTAAGACTTCATGTTTACATCTGCAACACGTGTCGCAATGATATGCGACTTTCACAATAAGATATGCTTTCCTTGGCGAACGTGCACAGACAGGATAGGCTTACTCTTTGCAAAAGGTCATGCCGACATGTGAAGAAGCATGGGCCCGCAGCAATCACATCTCTAGTAGTAATATTATGAATAATAGTAAACATAAATAGGTGCAAAAACGCTGGGGACGAGGTACGCCGCCAAACCGAATTTTGGGTAGCCCAACTGCACGCCTGCTACGCCGCACTAGTTCCCCAATGCATAACCGGTCTCAAGCTCCAATTTCTGCATGTCTAAAAGCTCCAAAGCTGAAGACCGCCTCATATCTCCAGGCTCCAGACATGCCTGAAAGCTGCCTCAAAATCTCTGAATCTATACCACAAAGAGCCTGGCAGCTGCCACTAGTCAGTAGAAATCACTTTTCGCTGCTGAGCAAACGAAATCGGTACCAGTCATGGAACCCCACAAGATCAAAAAGCGCGACTACAGAGGCAATAAGTTGCGCGACTGCAGGAGAAGTTCTGCATGCGCACACCGCATGTATCCCTTTAAAATTCGCATTTACTTCATGATTGTCGTAGCATGCCTAGCTCCGCGAAGTCCACAGATCCATCCAGCATGAAGGTCATCTGCTGAAATGCGGGCTTCACGTCACCATTCACTGTGCATTGCCTGGGAGACTGTGGTCAGGGGAGTCCTATCTGCGCTGGGCTTCTGTCCTGTTAAGCTGAGCGCATGGCAGGAGTCGGTCGCCCGCACATGTTACCCGAACATCACCCCTTCGGCGGCAAAGGTGACTATGACTATGTACTCTGCTCTATAGTCAGGACACCGCAACATGAGCGAAAGTGTGAGCGTGGCAGCATCTTTCCAGCCTTGTACTTCTCAGCCGTACGCCTACGGAAGCTGCGACCGCCAGACTCGGAAGAGGTGAGAGAAGGTCAGCCCATCAGTCTTGCCGCAACTGCCCAAAAAAGCAAGTGCACTGGAAGCCGAGCTGCTCTTGAAGTTGCATCCTGGCTGTCTCAGATCAATCTGGCATTTGCAGGTGATCTGCCAATAATTGAACAAATACGTCGACACGACACCCCGCCTTAACTGAGCGGAGGCTCTGGGCAGCTTCGCGGTCGTCCCGAGCTCTGGAAAGTGCACGTACGATTCCTGCAAGGCCCATACACTAAGTTGGATTGAGAGGATAAAGTTTCTGCTGTTTGACAAGGGCTTCTGGAACCTTTGGTGCAGCACATACCTTTTTCGACTAGTCCTGAAGACTGTTCGGCCTTTTCGCCGCAAACACGTAATGCTCTTTCAAACTCAGCCCGCGCTTTGCCTACTGAACTCAAGGGGACCTTAACATGTTCAACACGACATCCAAACATGATACAAAACGCTACTTGCAAAACGAAGAGCTTCCTCGAAGAGCATCTTGGAAAATGGCGGGCGGCAAGCTCCATCTACTGTATATTGTAGGTGGCCATGACCTTGACAGATTCCGCGCATCGACCGCAAGCGCATTCCCCAGCAGCCCCAGCATGGAATCATGATGGCTTGTATACATTTAGCTGCCTGTCATGGGTCTAGCAATGTCAGGAAGCGGCACATAACTGCACAGTGGACCCCAGCCCCGCGCCTGCGAGCGTCACCCGCACGGAGCCTTTTCCTCTTGCCTAGCGCTGCCAGTGTCTTATGTCACGCCCACTGGCCACAGGCCAGGCGTTCTGGAGTGGCTGGTCACATCCGTTCCAGCATCCTTTCATATCCTTTCTTGAGGTGATTGGTGGGCAAAGGATTTTTGTGGTCGCCGTCTTGCGCATGCCTGGACTGCGGAGGAATATTATTGACTTCCTCGACCAGCCCGTTCCACATACGGTGCAAAAAATGGATTGCAACGCC